CTCTCACCGCAAAGTACCCCCGGCGTCCATCCTCTCCGTACTACCATCATCATTCAAGTAGAAATGGGCCGAAATCGTACTTGACTTGGAGTGAGTGGGCCCGACATCTTTTGGCTTATTTTCAGTGGTCAACATTACGCATAAACCTAATTATAGATCACACATAATGCTACTTCGACAGATGTGCTTAGCTTATTTTCCACCTAATAAATATTGACAAATCTTCGGCATCAGTAGCATATATATGTTGAAATGAAGCTTCATAAGTGTACTTCCATTTTAAATGTGTTCGATTTTTCCGGTGGGAATGAGTAAAAAAAAAAGGCTACAAAATATTTTCTCTCTGAATACAAGTTATTGCTATCAATTACACACTTCACAGCTTACACATGGGACTACCCTAACAACCAAGATGTAATCCACACAAGAATCATGCTAAATGAAAAAGAAAAATAACATAAGAAGCATGAGCTATCATCAGTAGTGAACATAAATTATTGTTATTATTCAGAAAAAAAGGATTATACCTGATTAATGATCTGACGTTTGTAATCTGTGAAAGATCATAAAAATCATTAGGAAGACTTCAAATTCTAAATCCTTTATATAAAAAAAGAAATCTAAACATTATGCCATAGAAATGCGCTAAAACATGAGAAAATCACACCGAAAGCAAAAAAATGCACAAATCTGTTAGAAGCTCGAACAAAAACATAGGAAATAAAGATGGTTGATTCAACAGTATGGCTGTAGGAGTAGGAAGGAATATCAAAAGATGAAGAAATTGAACACATAAAGATCATAATTACAAGTATATGTCTGAGATACCTACAAATTCTTTGGGTTTTTTTTTTGTACGATCATGAGAGGAAGAATGAAATCAAGGTTAAAACAAAGACAAATGGGTATCCAAGACTCAAAGCCTATTTTGTTTGTCATTTGTTTCCCACGCAGTGTTGTTGAACCAAAACCAAAAGTAGAACATGAACAATAAGAATCAGATATGTGTGAAACAGAGTAACCCATAAAGGAACAATGAGAAATGTGATAAAGTTTTTCGTAAAAATAGCTAATTCTATGTTCATATACTCATAAAGACATATAAGGCTTTCATAAATCCATGAGATCGTAATAAGTATCAGACATGCAATATACGTTCATCTGACATAAATAGTTGGACTAAGGGAAATAAAAAAGAAACTTTTGAAGGTTACAGAACCAAGCTATAGTTTCAAACTTCAGGACTATCTTATGTTTTGGATTCAAGAAATGAAGTATTGGCTTCAACTAAGCTCCTGCAAAAATCTGAATGCATAATAAATTATACACAAGAATATGTGTTGAAGTAAAGATTTTCTCTGAATACAGCTGCATAATAAAAGAATTAAAACAGAACAAAAATAACGAAAAGATAACTTGATAAAAGAGGCTCAAAGATACAACTACGAGGTATTTAATCAAACATCATCACCAGACCAAATGCAAACTAACAAAAGCGTCAATGATGCTTTAAACGAGGATGAACTTCATCAAATTTGTATCCAGATAGCGTACAAATAAGCTTCAAAAGATTTTTTTTATGTGTTCCACCAATCTTATGCAACTTAAACTTTTATTGGCTCATGATTGATGTTCTAAAATTACTACTAAATTTTTAGAGCCTCACACTTGAAAAACACACGAGCATAAAGAACTATACAAAACTTTCTATTTTCTAATCTTTGTAACGGACAATCTATCTTTAAAAATCTTTCTGAATACAAACATAATT